TGATGCCAACCATGAACACAGACTTCACTGCTTTAACTCATGCTAGAATTAGTTAATGTAGATTTTTTATATAAGCAGATTCCTCATTTGTCTGGATTTCCAGATTTCTACACCCTTTGCATCTTATGGTTTTTGAGCCTTAATAAAAGTTGGGTTGGAAGGAATCTTGAGGGTCATCTAATCCAAATAAGATTAGACAAACAAATGCAGGATTTCCTAAACCATTTCAGACAAATGCTTAGGCAGGTTTATCCTGAATCTCCAATCATTGGAAATTTTTCATAACTTCCTCAGACAGCTTACTCCATTGTCCTGATTCTCTGACAAGAATTTTTTTACTGAGATTAGATGTATGTTAGCTTTGCTGCAGGTTAAAACCATTGCTGTGCTCCCTCCCCTCTTTGATGCAGGAGAACAGTTGTTCTCCCTCTTCTTTATGGCAGGCTTTCAAATATTTGAAAACTGCTGTCATGCCCCCTTCCCTTAATCTCATTTTCTCCAGACTCTAAACATACCTAGTTGCTTCAACCTTTCCCCATATGACTTACTTTGCAGCCTCTTTATTATCATTCCTGTTCATCTCTGGATCCTCTTCAGACACCTCTACATCTTGCTTAAAATGCAGGGCCCCAAACTGGAAACAGTATTCCAGCTAAAGCCTAATCAGAGTTTAGTAAAATGAAACTTTCACTGTCCAATCCTTGTGCACAACACTTCTAGTAATGCAACCCACAATTGCATTTGCTTTTCTTCTGGCAGCATCACATTGCTGACTCATTTTTTTACTTTGATTCACCATAGCTACAGATCCTTTACAGAAATGCTTCTACCTAAAGCATTATCCTCCATGAGGTATTTGTGAACTTGGTTTTCTTCCCTAGGTGAGGCACGTAAAAATGTATCTGTTGCATTTCACTGTTATCTTTTGCTCTCCAGTTTATGAAGTTCCCTTATTTTTGTCTCCTCAAAGGGTGTACCCCTCCTAGTTTGCAAATTTGATTACTGCATTCATGTATCCTTTTATCCAAGGCATTTTTTAGTGTTAAACAGCACTGGATCTAAAGCAAATGGTATCCTACTCGAGGCTTCCTGCCAGTCTGACATTTCTCAGTATGTAGCTTCTCTTTCTTTGTGGTTATTTAAACAATTGTGTATCCACCTAATGGTAGGTCAACCTAGTTTTCATTTCTGCAGTTTGTTAATGAGAATGATGTATCAAAAACGTTATTAAAATCCAGGTATATTATGTCTAACATGTCCCCCTCATCCACCAACTAGATTTCCCTGTCAAACAATGAAATCAAGCTGGTTTGGCATGTTCAGTCTTAAATTCATGTTGGCTGCTAGTTATCACCACCTGATACTCTAGATATTTACGAATTAACTATTTTATAATCTGTTTTAGTAACTTCTCCACTTCTGAATTTAGGCTAACTGACCTATAATTCCATGGGTCCTCCTTTTTCCTTCTTCTAAAGATTAACATGTTAGCTCTTCTACAGTCTTCAGGAATGTTATATTTCCCATTTTAGAGCTAGAAAGTTTCTTCAGAAGAAAACAATGAACCAAAAAAAACCCCAACCAATTCAGATTAGCCATCAAATCCTGTGACTCCAGGAATGGGAGTTTAAAGCAAAACAATTCCCCAAATATTGTGAGACTCATGATAAAATCTTGAGAATTGGCAACATTGGGGCTGCCAACAATGAGAATGCTTAAAAATATATCTTAGGAAACAAAAATGCATGCGAAATTTGATTACAAACAAAAATCAGCCCTCAAATCCTGAAAGGATGAATATTGTAATACCACAGAAACAAAATAGAATTGTACAAGATAAAAGAGATACAAGAAATGAAGGCTTTGGTTGTATAGTGGGACTGCTTTTATGTAAAAGTGGTTTTCATTGGGCTTTGTCATCCAGCATCCTTCATGTTCCTTGGAAAATTCTGTATTAAGCTGTACTGTTGAATTTTGAATACAAATTGACTTTTTAAAACTGATGGGCAATTTGCCTGTTTCTTTTTTCATCATTATTCATTTTCTTCCCTTTTGTTATCTATTTTCTCATTTTCTAAGACTTCTAAACCTTTTTAAGAGAGCCATTTGTAGCATGCATTGATTTTTCCTTTCTCGTGTTTTGCCTTATACTCTCTAGTGGGTTAGTGGAGTATCTGACAACATCCATCCAAATAAGGTTTGGCCCAAGACCGAGAGAGAATTGAGGTCTGCCTTGGGCAGAGCATTGGCATGAAGAATGCTCAAAGGCATCCCCCTCTGACTCACTAAAAATAAAGTTGACCCTACTGTCCCATTTTGGGGGGAAAGAATGGGTTATATTATTTTCTTTGGTTCTGGGGCTACAAGGCTCAGTTCTTGCTTAGTGTTTGTGTTGGCTAAGAAAAGCATCTAGGGAGAGGTATTTTGTGCCTTGGGTTACATTCACAATTTTTTGTGAAAACAGCTGTGTTCACTGCAAAAAATGTACAGAGCAAAACGTAGAAATTCTGTGCATTCTCTCCATTTTGTTTTCTGCCTTCCTTTCTCCATACCATCTGTAGAGCTGCCAAGTTTCTCACTTTTGTGATGTGGGGAATAGGGATTTTTATGATATGCTCAGTTCTGCTGTCGTGATTTCTATGATCCACTAATCTTCCCAGAAGGCTTCACGGGACGTTTGGTTTGTTCTTTCTGTGACTGTTTTTCCACTCCTGACTGTGAGACAAACACAAAAGCTTCAATGGTTGCTGGGAACAAAGGAGCAGTTATTAATTGTCAGGCTTACCTCTGGCCAGAAGCAACAAAGATGTAACTGCAGTTAAGAGGCCCCTAAACTGGGGGTTCCTGGAGGCAACTAGAATGGTGGGTCAGTTGCATATCCTCTTGGGGCATTCTTTGTTTTTCCATGAGCCTTTGCAATCTCTATTATAAACGAAGTGAACTGTAACATTGTTTCTGGATCTCCTCTCACATTTAAGTTTTTAAATTGTCATGTGATTTAATGCTTACATGGTGGAACTCCCAGATCCATGCTTGACAATATTGAAGATATAAACAAGGCCAGAACTTTTAACTTTTTTTTTTAAACTGATATTTGACTTGGGACAGTTTTCCGTAGAGAGAGGCAAATGTATTTCTTTTTTAATTAAGGGTTGTCCTCCTAAATAGGGGCAGTTGGCAGTAAAATCAATCCATAATCAAGAGCTAAAAAAAGAAATCAGGAGGCAATAGGAAGATAAATTGACTTAGAGTCTCAAGAGGGCTGTTAAGTGTGGGTGCATAGTGGTGTGGATTGGAAGATTATAAGAAACATTACAGCCAAACATACTTGGAGAAGCCTTTACTTAAAGGTTATAAATAGTTTATGGAGCTATTGGCATCAGATTAAATTAACAGCAATCTTGTTTATATCATGTCAAACTGGCTTTATGTGAGGAAGTTGACACTGTGCAGAAACATTGTCTGTCTGTCTTCTCTAAGTCTCCTGACTCTCCATTCCCATTACCTCCCTATTTCTTGTCTTACTTGATTTTTCTGCTTCTATAGATAAAGATGTTAAGAATCATAGTTTTTGCTTAAAAATCTATATCAGGTTCAATCCTGCTGTTTGACAAAAGCATTTGTTGAAGTATAATTAAAAGAAACTAAAGCAAAATATTGTATTATGATTTAGAGATGTACCAATAAAAGGAAAACTAACATTATTGGCAATTGGGTTTTTTTGGCTGGTGTAGCCAATAATGTCACCGATAAATGCTGCATGCATGTGCAAAGCTGCAGGATGCACGCAGCCAGGAATGCAGCTGGGCAGCATGGAGAACAGCATCTGGCCAAGGGGTGTTGGGGAGGGAAGGGCTGTGTGTGTGGGGGGGATGCAGATCAAGGTCCCCACAGTGAGAGAGAGAGAGAGAGAGAGTGGGGCAGGGGCAAGGGAAGGCACTGCCCAGCCAGGGTGGTGAATGTGACCCTGGGGCTGGAAGGAGGGCGGAACCACGCATGGCTTATCCAGGATGCACAGAGGGGTGGGGAGAGCGGGCAGCTCCCTGCCACTGTGCACACCCCTGGGGGAGGCATGGGGGTCATGTGTCCCCTGGATCTGTGCGTGGGATGAGGGTGGGCTGCCTTCTTCAGGCTTGGGGCTGAGGGCTGGGCTGGGACTGCACTTAGGGCAGGTGGGGGCGGGCAGTGGCACTGGGAGGTGTAATTACTGGGTGGCTATGGGAAATTTTGGGGTGGCTGTAGCCCACACTGTTGCTCCCCTTCTAGTGCTGCCGCTGGCCACTGCACCCCCACCTGCTTGAAGCCCAGCGCCCTCCCCCCCACCACGAAAGGCTGGCCCAGCCCCAAGTCCACAGTGAGCAGTCTGCCCTTGTCCCATGCACAGATCTGGGGGGCACATACCCTCCTTCTAACCCCCACTGCCCTGCACCCTCTGGACAAGCTGCCCACAGCTCTGTCCCGCTTATGGTCTTGGGGTCACATTCACTGCCTTAGCTGGGCAGTGCCTGCCCCTGCTCCACACCCTCCCTCCCCACGGGGGCATCAATCTCCCCTGCCATGCCCCTCCCCCTCCACAGACTTACTGGCCAGATGCTGCTGTCCACGCTGCCCGAGTGCATTCCTGTAAATTGGCTATCAGATCGGCATTGGCTGATATAGCTGGTTAATAATCAGCCATCAGTATCGGCCAAGAAAATCTTTATCGGTGCACCCCTAATTATGATTCTTTGCCATCAGCAAAATTAATACAACCTGATCAAGAGAAGTATGTAGCAAATATAATCTGGAGTAAATAAAGGTGTTGCTTTAAAATTATAATTTCAAATCTTTCAGTTTGTGTGGTACTCTCCAGTCTTAAAGTAGAGAATATCTTAGGACCTGATTAATACCTCTAGAATTGGAATGAACTTTTTAAATGTAGTCACTACAAAATGACTTTTAAAAAAAAATACCTTTGTATATATCTTTCATTCTAATTGTATTTTATTTTTATATTATAGGTGCAGTACTTTTGACCAGTGTGCAAGGATTAGCTGTCAATATTGATCCTGTCCTATATACGTGGCTTACCTATCAACCTCAAAAACGAAATAGTAGACACATTCAACAGGTAAGAATTCTTGAAAACAACTTCTGAATATGAATTTTAAAGTATTCCTTTCTTACGGCATACTTTGTAATTTGATGTGAAATTTTGAGTTGGTGAATATAATTTACCATACATGAAGTTGACCTGTGTAAAATTTTAAATAGTTGAAAGTTATAAATTTTATCCAAGCTTTAACATTTCAATTATGTAAACTGAAAATGATTATTACATTACTTGTTTATTTTTCTTGTAATGTGTCGTTAAAGGAATGGAGAATGTATTTATTATAAAGGAAGATGTTTTTATAACCTGACCCTTCCCAACTCTCTGGAAGAACATGAGTCAGTTGAGATTGATTTCGGCCACAAAATCCCAGGGAGTTCTAAGCCTATCGGATCTAGTAGTGACTATTAGTCCTGGAACTGGATGTCTAAGGACCATTTCCGGATACCCTTTGCATGACACTTTTCTTGACCAATGAGATTTCAGAGACTGATCCAGGAACCAGTACTACAGTCCTATTGGGTATGCCTGTACGAGCAGCTGACTGCTGAGTAACCAGCATTACTGTGCAGTCCCATCACTTCACAGTTGTTTTCAACTGCTACTGTGCAGTAGCTCAACATCTTATGTACACATGCCCATTGAGACCACAGTTCCTTAGACACATCAAGCAGGGTTGTTGGTGGTAGTGGTAGGGGAAGGGACGGGAGAGGGGGTTTTGTTCT